TTTACATTTATGACACTTTCCATTTGTGTTTAAATCTTTGCCAATACCAAAGTAGTTATGTCTCATGCCAACTATCAGTTAGCATTATACTATGATGTTCACACACAACTCTGTGCTAAAGTTTCTTTCTTTTATGAACACTTTTCCCACAACTTTAGTATAACACCTTTTGCCAACAATAAGATGCCCATTGTTCTCATACTTAGATTTTATGATCTTCTCTATCCTTCGTGGGGTACAACACACCTCAGTCCAAAATCTTCTATCCCTTAGGACCATTCCTTCACTCCATTTGAGTCATTTAGCTTTTTGAACTTTGCCAATCCGATAACCCATAAGGTTGTACTTTTGAGGTGCCAGCTCACTAGAATACAACTTCCTATATTCATATCTTACTCATAAGGACCATCTTTGTAAGTGTTACTTCGACACTTGATTATTCTTTGTTCCAGGTGGCTACTTTTGCCCCTTAAGACTATCTATTTATATGATGAAAACACCAGCTCATCCTCTAAGTACACCCCTAACTCCTTGGGTTATTCCAGCATTTATAAAAGGTAACCCTGACTACCATTTCAAGGACTCATGTCCTCCTCCATATTTGACCTTCCACAATCATTAATTCTGGTCTCCAATTCATAAACACCAGTCTCAACTATATGAGGATAATGTTGTAACTCTTTTATTGTTTTGGAATCTTTATCTTTCTCATGATCCCAACTATAGTTGTTTACCACACCTATCTTAACCAGTTTACTAAGTCAAACACTCATCTAAATCATATCCTCAACTTTCTGAGGAAAACCTTATACTGTTCCCAAGATCCCAAAGTTGTTCCCTTACTGGCCCCTTTCTATCCACCACATTGTGCACAAGTTCACACATGAACTAGAGTGGAGAGCCATGTCCTCCCGACATGCTACTCCTCTAGGATACGTCTAATCCTAGGACCTTTCATTTCCAATACAAGTGGTGATATACTTAACCACCAATAAAAGTCAGACTAAGGACTAATACCAAACTGTAAGCGACTAAATTTTCCATGCTACTTTAGTCATTTAACCACACCTTTAACCACTTGAAGGAGTCTCACTCACACCCTCCATAAGTCCTATTTCGAACTAGGGGTCTTACTAGCCCCGAGAATGGCATCCATACCACTCTACCTTTGCACTTGGTCCAAATGCTTCATGTGTCTAATCCCATGATCGACACCCAAAAGTATCACCGACATACCAGCCCATTACACTAAGGCCATGCCCATTCACTTTTGTCACACTAGTGATCCAACACCACTTACATCACAATCCCGTCTCTCAAAGACTGGTCATCCATCCATGAGTGATCATCCCAGATCCACTCCTTAGAATCCTTGGCATGCTTGTAGATATAGGGAATAACCTTCCTTAATATCCCTTTTTTGGTCCCCACCAAATCCCTTTCGGTCCATAGTCGTGTTTGCCAACACTGCCACTAGATCATGGCCCATAGGCCTGACCACTAAGTCCCATTATCTTCTAAGATTTCCTCACCATGTGCCCGCATCCTTGGTCATTACACCAAAGGACTACTCTTCTTCCTTTCCACAGTCTGGGACTTTGGGACAACATTTCAGAACATTGTGGCCCTATGCAAGCCTCATGGGTACTCTCCCCACCTTTCACCTTTGGGTGCTCTAGACATGAGCTAGAGCGAGGTTCCGTCAAGCCATGCCAAGTATCCAAGTAGGTAGTGCCACTCATGCTTGAACTGGGAGCATTGACCATTTAATCTCCTGGAGGAGCTAGAGCTAACTCTTGAACACTTCACCAAACTATATGTTTGTTTGTCTATATCACTCTAACTTTGGACTCCTTAGTAAATATATTCTCACCCAGCACCTAGGTATAGCCTTCCTCAGTGGCCTTTCCTGGCCAAACTGACTCCATTGGGGTCCAACCCCCACACTCCCCCTACTATACTTTTTGAACCCCCCTTGGGGGGACGATCGCTTTGGGATTTCACCCAATAGCCCAATAGTCTGCCAACAGCCTATATTAGTATTTGGACTCAAACTCAAACTTAGACTCAGTCTTAGTCTTGGTTTCAGTTTCGGACTCGGACTCAGTCACGGTCTCAGTCTCGGTTCCATCTTGAACTCCATTTCAGACTCCATCTCGGGTCCATCTCGAACTCCATCTCAGACTCCATCTCAAACTCCATCTTAGACTCCATCTCGAACTCCATCTTGAACTCCATCTTGGGTCCATCTTGAGTCCACATCTCGGACTCCATCTCAGGTCCATCTCAAAGTCCATCTCAAATCCATCTCGAACTCCTCCATGTGTTATGTGTTGGTCCTTTTATATCCCTTTTTTAGAGACTCACCTATTGCTTGCTTCGTGCTTGTTCCTTGAGCTCTTCGTTGGGAGTTTCTCTCCCACTCTTGACTTTTCGAGTTGGAGCTTTTTAGTCCAAATGTGTTACTCTCATTTAGCTTTTGCTTCGGCCACTACCACGTGGCACTTTTTTGGCTCCACTTTTGGGGCTCTAGGATTTATGTCTCACACTACTCTCCTAGCTTAAAGGAAGAATAATTAAAAGGAACTTATAAGGTTAAAAATAAGTAATAAGGGGATAAAATTGAATTATAGGAATCGAAGGGTATAGCCAAATATGATTATGCAAGTTAGGAGTGGAGAATCAAGTAAATACTCGAAGGTGTTACTACTAGTAATTGTGGAGCCATAAAAAGTTTAAAGTGTGAAATTAACTATATTAGACATTATGGCAATTAGAAAGCTTGCGAAAGGAAAAACCTTAGCAAGCTAAGGGATAAGGTCCCTTCAAGGTTCCAAAAGACAATTTTACATAAGTTAATATTTAGATGTGAGACACAAATCTTTAAGTCCCAAAGTGGAGCCGAAAGGGCGCCATGTGGTGGTGGCTGAAGTGGAAGCTAAACGAGCGTAACATGTTTGGAATAAAAGTTTCGACTTGAAAGGTTAAAAGTGGGAGTGGAACTCCCAACGAAGGGCTCAAGGAACAAGCATGAAGCGAGCAATAAGTGAGTCTCTAGAAAAGAGACACAAGAGGACCAACATATGACACATGGAAGTGTCTAAGAAGGAGTCCAAAATGAAGTTCGAGATGGAGTCCAAGATAAAGTCTGAGATGGACCCGAGATAGAGTCCAAGGTGGACCTGAGATGGGGTTTGAGATGGAGTCCGAGATAGACTTGAGATGGAGTCCACGGTGGACCCGAGATAGAGTCTAAGATGGAGTTCGAGATGGAGTTCGAGATAGATCTGAGATGGAGTTTGAGATGAACCTGAGATGGAGCTGAGATGGAGTCCAAGATGGACCCAAGATGGAGTCCGAGATGGACCTGAGATGGAGTCCGAAATGGACCCGAGATGGAATCCAAAATGGACCCGAGATAGAGTCCAAGATGGACCCGAGATGGAGTCCGAGATGGACCCGAGATGGAATTTAAGATAGAGTCCGAGATGGACCCGAGATGGAGTCCAAAATGGACCCGAGATGGAGTCTAAGATGGAGTCCGAGATGGACCTAAGATGGACTCAAGATGGAGTCCGAGATGGAACCAAAACCGAGACCGAGACTGAGTCTGAGTTCGAGTTCAAATACTAGTACAAGCTGTTGGGTAAAAGCCCAAAGCGATCATCTCCCGAGGGGGGGCTGCAAAGGGTTCCAAAAGTACAATAGGGAGAGTGTGGGGGTTGTAGTGGAGCCAATTTAGCCAGGAAAGGCCAGTTTGGCCCAAGAAGGCCATACCCAATTGTTGGGTGATGGGATGACCATTGGGAAGTCTAAGGCTAGAGTGAATATAAACTGACAAGCAGGGTAGCTTGATGAAATGTTTAAGAGTTGGCTCTAGTTCCCCTGGGAGATCGAATAGTCGATGCTCCCAGTCCAAGTATGGGTGGCACTACCTACCCTAATACCTAGCGTGGCTCAACAAAACTTTACTCTAAGCCCATGGCTAGAGCACGCAAAGGCGGAAGGTGGGGAGAGTACCCACGAGGCTTGTGTAGGGCCACAGTGTTCCGAATTGTTGTCCCAAAGTCCTAGATTATGGAAAGGAAGAAGAACAGTCCTTTAGTGTAGTGACCAAGGATAAGGTCATGTGGTGAGGAAGTCCCAAAGGACCATGGGACTTAATGGTTGGGCCTATTGGCTTTGATCCAATGGCAGTGTTAGCAAACACAGTCATAAACAGAAAAGGACTTGATGGGGACCGAAAAAGGGATATTGGGGAAGGCTATTCTTTATGTCTGCAGGCATCCTAAAGATAGTACAGAGTGGATCTAAGATGATCACTCATAGATGGATGGCCTAGTCTTTGAAAGACGGGATTGTGATGCAGGTGGTGTTAGACCACCAATGTGACCAAGGTGAAGGGGCATGGCCTTAGCGTAATGGGCTAATATGTCGATGGTACTTTAGGGTGTTGGTCATGGGATTAAACACGTGGAGCACTTGGACCAAATGCAAAGGTTAAGTGGCATGAATGCCATTCTCGGGGATAGTAAGCCCCAAATCTGGAATAGGACTTATAGAGGTTGTGAATGAGATGGTTTTGTCCAACTTTTATTGGTGCTCAAATATATCACCACTTATGTTGGCATCAAAAGGTCCTATAAGTGGGAGTAGCATGTCGGGAGGACATAGCTCTCCACTACAGTTTATGTGTGAACTTGTAGGAAAGGTGGTGGATAAAAAAAGGCCAATAATAGAACAATTTTGGGATTTTGGGAATAGTATAAAGTTTTCCTCAAAAAGACAAAAGCTTTGAGCAAAAACAAATTTCAAAAACATCATGAAGATGTAAGTGTTATAGACTCTCACGGCTGAGTGGGAGTGTAAGTAACCAGCCTAGAGTCTAATCCAAGGTGGCAAGAGATTCATGTTGACGCTGAAATGAGCAGACACAAGACTTATATATATTTACATGGAGAAAATGACAAAGTGGTAGTTAGGGGAAACAGAGTATGTCATTTAACTAGAAAACTAACAAATTCGTGTTGCTGCTGGATCCGTCTCGAAAGTGGCCATTAGTGTCTGTCGAGTGGGGTCGTTGTATTGTGTTTTGATAAGCTTCTTCTGCTGTTTCTTGTGGCTCTTTTTTACTTTGTTTGCATTCGCTACTGGTGCGAAGTCCAACATAAACAGCCAAGTGTCCGAGGGCAACCCGAATCGTTTTGTCCTAGAGGCAGACTGCAAACAAAACGCTGAGAAGGCAACGCATAAGCCCACGTTGGAAGGTTTGACAGAGCCTCTTCTTGGAAATGGTGGCGTCGTGGTGGCATAAAAAGTTGGTTTTTGTTTTTCGCCCAGAGTTACAATCTGGACTTTTTGCAGCTTAGGAAGTCTGATACAAGCAGTCGACGAGGAGGCTTGGATGGATGCCTCGAATGGAGCACGGCGTGATTGTTCACAACCATGACATCTCCTGGCTTCCACTTGTGAGGTACTTGGTGGTCGTTCATAAATGCAAGCGAGGCTTTAAGAGCGTCTAGTGGAAGCGGTGTTCCATCGCCATATTCCAAATGCCGGAGGTTTGGAGTGGTGGGATTGGAAGTGCCAATGTTGTTGAACCACGTCTTTGAGTTTTCCTTGAGCTGCTTGATCGCTGGGCGGGGCCCGTGGTAGACTTTCACTCGTCCGTCGTCTAACCATTGTAGTTTCTTTGACAACTTGGAAGCTCTGCAGGGAAATCCGGGATAAGAAACTTTGGTGCTCGACGATCGAGAGCAAGAGAAGCAAAAAAAGAGATCGCTACTTACTTGAGCTCCGCCTGGGATCGATCGTCCGTGCCAAACTTCTCCTTCCACTCGTTCTCGGCGAGAAAGTTGTAGTAGACGAGGCCTTTCTCCTCGAGGTTCCGTACGAACTCGGGGTAGTCGCGGGCCATGGCGTCGTATACGGTACGGCCTTGTACGATCCCCGTCTCGCCTCCCTCCGGTGGAGCGATCTCGCAGAAGAACATCACCACGTCGGGATAATCCGGCAGCTGTGGAGAGAAACAACACAAAGATCGTGAGTTGCGTGGGCAATTCATGAAGAGAAGCGGGAATCTTCGCGATCGGGAGGAAATCGTGAAGAGAAATCGTGAGAAATCGCGAAGAAATCGTGAAAATCCGTGAGGAGGAGGGAGGGATACAACTCACATAGGCCATCTCGTTGTGGAATCCAATGCGAATTTCCAGCGGCAGCTCGTTGGCAGTGAAGACCGGGCGACGATATACGTCCTGGTCGCCGCGCCCGCCTCGTATCCCATGCTCTTGTATCCAAACGCCTCCATCACCGTCGCGAAATCCTCGGCATTCTTGGGAAGCCCCGGAAGAGAATCGCGCGCTGCTGTCGAGAAGGGATTCCAGACCGGGCTTGTTCTTCCGGATCGCCGCTGCCAGGGCTTCCAGCGCGGGATGATCGCTGCCGGGAACTAAAACCTGTGGAAATGAAGGATTGGAGTGATTTGCAGCAGGTGGATCAGTCACAAACTCCGCCACGGCCGCCAATAGATCCGCCCTATCTAAGCTCTTATCTTAGTCAATAACAATACTGACATGTCAGCCACAAGCAAATAGTTACACGTGTCTTTCCAGCTATCGGTAGCTACCTGTGGGGTTTATTGCGCTAATTCGCGGAAACATCGGCGCAAGATGAGGAACTCGCGAACGCGAGACAGCGCAGAAGGAAATTCGCTTCTCCCCAGCGATTGAAGAGGATCTTGGCGACCTGGAGCCCTCCCAAGAAGATCGCGACGCTCGAGCAGCTATTGTCGCCTCGTTCGGCAGCTTTGTCAAGCAGACTTTATCTGGTGAGTGTCTCTCATAAAAATGCGTGATTTTTCTCTCCAGCTGTTCTCTTCTCTTTCTTTTCGTTAGAAGATGATCTTTTTTCTTTTCTTTTTTCTCTCCCCAGGCTCGTCCGTCGTTGCACCTTTTGGATCATATGTAACCAACACATTCACTTGCGACAGCGATCTCGATCTATCGCTTTACTTGAATCGTATGAACCCTCTTTCCCGAGAAGAAAAACTCTACTTTTTGAAAAGGGTCACGACCAGTTTGCAAGCAATGCATGGTAAGCGTAAAGCTAATATTAAAGTCTTTCATTCATTCTTACTCGTTTTCTTATTGGCTGGCAGCACGGTATGATCAAATACAGCCCATTTACAAGGCTACTGTTCCTGTGGTGAAGTTCGTGGACCGTAAAACTGGAATACAGTGTGATCTCTCTGTAGACAACAAAGATGGTGCATCAAAATCGTTGGTACTAGCCGCTCTATCTTCAATCGACAAGCGCTTTCGCCCACTCTGTCTACTGGTACCAGAAGTGTTGAATGTCAGTCGTTTTCTGAGATGTTCCGTTCCAGCTGAAAAAATGGGCCAAATCTCACGAGATCAACGATGCTAGCGCTGGTACCTTGAGTTCGTATGTCATCACACTTTTGGCCATATTTCACCTTCAGGTCAGGTTGCCTAGGGAGTTGTTTTGGAGTGCTTTTTGACATGCGTACTTTGCAGACATGCTCCCCTCCAGTTCTCCCGCCATTGTCTATGATTATTGGAGGTTTTCGCCACTCTTTAACTTTTATATTATTGTTGAGTGCTCTTTAGCAAGGTTTTGTCCTCGTCACAGATCTCCGTCCTCGTTTTCTCTTCTCTCATATATTGTTGGTTTGATGAGATTCGTTAGTATTTTCTCATTACTCGGCTTGCTTTTTGCAGGACTGGACCTACGTGATGCTTCCTATTGCAGCGGGTTTATAAGTGCCCGCGCCAAAGCTTTTCAGGGCTTTGGTGCTCGCAACATGGACAGAATCTCCGAGCTCTTTAGGACCTTCTTTGTAAAGGTGTTGGACTCAGTTCTAATTTGTGTGTGTTCTCACTCAGTTTTCCAATGCGTAGATCACCGCTGTCAAGCCACTCTGGCAGGAAGGACTCTGTGCGAGTACTTACCATGCACAGTGGATCTCAAAGTGGCCAAGCTTTCACAATGGTTGCATTTGCGTAAGTTTCGCCTTCCGCAACTCCTGATGACGTTCGCTTATGTTTTTCAGGTGGAGGATTTTTATGATCCGTCACGGAATGCTGCCAAAGGCGTGACACCCAAGGACTTCGAGTGCATCTACCAGGGCCTGGAGAACTCGGTAGATGCGTTCCGAAGGCCACCACGGATATGGAATCGTTCAAGAAGATGATCGTCGGCGATGGATGTATGCCGAAGGTTACTCCACCACCACGGCCTGAGCCACGATTCCCAGACCCGCGCGACATTTGTCCCAGCCTCGCAGTGCCTCTCCTCCTCCAAGGCCGACCTCACAGGCCTGCATCGGGACCTCCAAACCGCCGGTTCTGTGAGTATTTGCTCTTCACTAGCTTCTAGTTGTTTGCTCACCATCCATGGATTTACAGAGAAACTGAGGAAACGCAATCAAATTAATTCGTCCGAGTGTCAAAGGCGAGCTTTAAAGTTAAGGTAAATTATTGTTTCCAGGGAACTGCTCGGAGCACAAAGTGCTCTGGAAGTTCTTCATTATAATTTATCTCTTCCATCTCATGTTTGATTGTTGGTCACTTGCAAAGAAAATAGCTTTCATTCATCTAGTATCACTGCATCAAAGAGATTCTATTACACCGCTCCAGCCATTCTTGCTGATAGTTCTTGGTCCATCATTTTGATGATAAACTGTTGCAGCTTAAACAGATCAAACTCGATATAGTAGTCACCCTTGACATCTCCAGTGAAGTGAGACATGGGAAACTTGATCACAAAGCCCTCGCTGGCCTTGCAAAACTCCGGCCCAAACATGATCTCCCTCATGTCACGGCTGCCTTCCTCCTTGGCGAGAAACGTGAATTGGCAGTCGCTCGTAACTTTGACACCGATCACCTTGTAACCAGACTGCTCCCACGTCTCCACCACCTCCCGCAATGTCCCGATCGTCTCGTTCCTGTACGCCACTTCGACCACAGCCCTCGCTCTCACCATGTCCAAGTTGGAGAAATAGCACTGATCCGGTTCCTTGTCACCCGTCACTGTTGGAAGGCGCGAAGCTCTGGCGGGCGTGATCACGTCTAAACACTCGTCCACGCCAGGAAGAGTGCAAATCTGCGAGAGGATGCGAGTGTTGAACCATTGCGAGACGGTCTCGTGAACGATGGAAGGGTCCCCGTGCATCCACACATCGCCTTTCTTGTATTGCAATCTCCAGTGGCACTCCAAGCCATGCATCCAAGCATCATAAATTGCCCATGGTACCTGTTGGGCAACGAGGAATGGCCCCTCCTTGTCTCCCTCTTCATATGTGGCAATGGCCTCCCTCAACCCCGCATCCAAGGACTCCATACACCAGAAAAAAAAAAGGAAACACTCGTCAGAGATTTAGGGTTTATCGATCAAACAATTTAAACAGGTATAGGGTCTTTTTGGTGCTTTTTGGTTTGTCAAATCCACCTACTCCACTCTAATTGAAGGAGGCCACTAAAGTAGGTTAATGGTTCTTCAAGGATGTGGTTTTCTAGTATTGGGCACCAACAAAAGTCTTATCAAATAACAATAAAAACTTTGCTAGTGAGTTTGTGGCCAACTTAAAGATAGAAAGGATCTAGCACCAAATTACTTTAGCTTACTGGCCCAAGGCAAATGGATTGGCTGAAAATTTTGCTAGAACACTCGCTAAAGCCATCAAGTCCCAAATATAGGGAAATAATGTTGAGAACTAGGACTCCTTATGCTTGCTAATGTAAAAATTGACAAGGTAGGAGAGCATTAGGATGAGTTCACAAGAAGCTCTCCTTGGATACCCCATGACTCTACTTGTAGAATTTAGTGGGGATACACAACTTTTGTTGGGAAATATTGACAAAAATCTAGACTAAAATAACTTGGCATATGAGAGTAAGTTGATCCAAGACAATGGTCAAAGGAACATATAAGCAGTTCAGTAAATCTAGGTTAAGAGGTATGCTCAAAGGCATTATAATCTAGATATAAAAGCAGCATCATTTAGTGTGGATGAGATGGTGTATGCTTAGGACAAGAACATAAGGTTGACTCATCTTGACACCTTGATTCTATAGGAGGCACCAATTCTACTTTAGTCACTTAACCATATTTTCAACTATATGGAAGAGTCTCACTCACAATCTCCATAAGTTCTATTATGGACTTGGGGACTTGCTAGCCCCAAGAATAACATCCATGCCATTTAACTTTTGCACTTGGTCTAAGTGCTCCACATGTTCGATCCCATGATCAACACCTTAAGGTACCACCAATATATCAGCCCATTATACTAATGCCACCTTTGTTACCATAGTGGTTCAACACCACTTGCATTACAGTTTCATCTCCTAAAGATTGGGTTATCTGTCCATGAGTGATCATCCTAAATCCACTCCTTAGCATCTTTAGGAAGCCCATAGATATGGGGAACAATTTTCCCCAATATCTTTTTTTCAGTCCTCACTAACTCCCTTTCCATCCATAAACGTGTTCGCCAACATTGCTACTGAGTCAGGGCTCAAAGGCTTAACCACTATGTTTTCTTGACTTTTGGGACTTCTTTGCCACATAACTACATCTTTGGTCACCACATAAGAGGATTGCTCCTTTTTCTTTCCATAATCTAGGACTTTGAGATGACATTTCAAAACACTATAGCTCTATGTGAGCCTCATAGGTATTCTTCCCACCTTTTGCATTTGGGTGCCCTAGCCATATGGCTAGAGTGAGGTTTCGATAAACCATGCCAGATATCCAAGTAGGTAGTGCCACCCACACTTGGATTGAGAGCATTGACCATTTGATTTCCTGGGGGAACTAGAGTTAACTCTTGAACACTTCACCAAGTTACTCCATTTGTCTGTTTATATTCACTCTAGCCTTGAACTCCTCAACAAATATATCATCACCCAACAAGTGGGTATAGCCTTCTTTGGTCACACTAGCCTTTTCTGGCCAAACTAGCTCTACTAAAGTTGTCCCCCTATTATACCTTTGGTGTTCACCAAACCTGTTAGGGTCTTGGAAACGAACACTTTGGGCTTTCACCCTCAGACTCGAACTCAAACTCGGATTCGGACTCAAACTCAGACTCAGACTCAAACTCGGACTCAGTCTTAGTCTCGGTCTTGGTCTCGGTCTCTTTCTTGGCCATGACCTTGGACTCTATTTTAGGTCCATCTCAAACTCCATTTCTAGTCCATCTCGAACTCTATCTCAAACTCCATTTTGGATCCATCTTGAACTCCATCTCAAACTCCATCTCGAGTCCATCTTAGGTCCATATCGGAATACATCTTAGGTCTATATTGGACTCCATATCGAGTCCATTTTGGACTCCTTCTCAGACTCCATTTCAAACTCCACCTCTAGTGCAACTCAGACTCCTTGTTAGACTCCATCTTGACGCTTCTACGTGTCATGTATTGGTCCTTTTATGTCCCTTTTCTAGAGACTCACTTATGTAAACAACCAAAGGGAACGACTCGAAAGACAATCCATAAGGGTTTAAATATAGAGGGAAAGGGCCTATGAATAAGAGTGCACCCCTTTTTCCAATTGGTTAAAAGTCTTGGGATATTTGGGGTTAAGTGTTTTTGGGTGTGAATAGTACTGGGCTGGGTGACCTCTCAGGAAGTTTAAACTCAAGAGCTTACAACTTACTATTTGTGTTGTGCTATCTCCTCGAGCATTTTATTGGGAGTTTTACTCCCACTCTTGACTATCTAAGTTGAGGCTTTTAGCCCAAATATGTTATGCTTGTTTGGCTTCTACTTTAGCCACTACTATGTGGCCCCCTTTCAACTCCACTTTGAGGCTTAGGGATTTATGTTTCACAAAATGTTCTTGAGTTTGAATAGTACTAGGTTGTATGACCTACTCAGAGAAGTCTCAAGTCCATCTTTGTTAGTTAGCTAAGAAAATCACATCATATATTAAAATTAACATTTGGCAGATTCAATTTGCCTTTGACTAGGTTTGACCCAAAGGTTAGGGTGTTAAGAGAGTGGGGCTTTTGGAAGAGTTGTGGCTCTTAACTTTTATTTATGAAGGTGTGAATTTGCAAAAAAGCATGATAGATTGTAAAGAATTAAAAGGAACAAGTTTAAAGGCAATCTATAAAGGTTTAAATATACAAGGAAAAGGTTTATAAACAAGAGTGCACACATTTTTCCAATTGATTAATAATTTGGAATACTTAAGTTAAGTGTTTTAGGTTTGAATAATACTAGGTTGGGTGACCTCCCGAGAAGTCCAAACTTTGGATTTTAAACTTAGGAATTTATAAAGAGTAAAAAATGATAGATATGCTAGGAGATAAAGAACTAAAAGTGATCAATGTGTCAAGAGAAGGAAATATTGTTTGGAAATCCAAACTCAGAAGCTTACAAAAAATAAATTTTGATCTATGTGCCAAAAAAAAGAAATATTGCAAATAAGGAAAGAACATTAGAAATATGAGAAGATGGGTTAGATTGAGAAATAAAAAAATGTTGGGAAAGAGTAGAAGGTAAAGAAAAAGGATTAGGTAGATAAAAAAAAAGGATCAAATGGTAGATTAAAAGATTAATACTTACCCTAACTCATTTCTAAAATTATCTTTATAATAATCAAATTCCTCATCACAATCTAGAATCCATTAAGCTGTTTTCCCATAAATTTAATCTTTGAACATTCTCCAAGAATTAAATTATATCATCTATAACTCACCAATCAAGAACATTGAGAAAAATAAGTTATATAATCACATTCTATAGAAGTTGGAGATAGCAACACACTAAAGATGGGTACAATATTAATATGATCACACCCCATAACACCATAGGACCAAAAGCTTAATTTAATGAAGTAGTATCAATAGCCTCAAATGATATATTCCTTGATTGATGTCGGTGTGGTATGGTAAAAGAAGATAATACAATGAAGATCAGAAGAATAAACAGATCTAAGCACAGTGATAGCTAGAATTTCAAATTTTGCAAAAAGTTAATACATATCTAGATGTAGAAGAAATAAAAATAAAAAACATGATCCTAAACACTAGAGCAAAGAAAACTTTACCCTTTAAGGATAAGTTTAACTCAGAGACAAATTTAAGTGCCCCTCATCTCCACCAATGTGAGTGCTCAGGATATAGAAATAAGTATATTAATTGGGTTTAGACCCTTGCTTATAAACAAAAATGGATAGACCAAAGTTTGTTTTAAATTGATGATCCATATATTATAATATTATAATTAATGTATTACCTAGCTAAGATTGTAAGTTTGTAAATACATGTATGTATATATATGTATTACCTTACCTAAGTAATACATTAATTATAATACTAAAGCATATGGACTGTCTATTGGGATTGAATCTAGTCCATCCATCCTAGTGCATTTGCTGTTATGAATGCTGCCAATGAAGGGATATATATTGGCTATGTAGTCATGCAATATGCCACCACTTATGCATATGGATCCTATAGAATCATAATCATCCTATTTCTATGATTGGAATCTTTGTAAATGCATCTATGTTTGAATGATATACTCCTTTTTTATAAAAGATATC